TTTTGCAACATAGAAAAGTAAGCTTGTTCGTGATATAGCCATAGAAAAACTATTATACTTACTGAAGTTTTGCTAACAACGCGTCCTTTGTCTCCCTTGACGCTTTCCGACTTCAACCGTTAATTAGTCCTATTGCATAAATTTTTCGATCGTTAGATTCAGAATCTAAGATCAATAATTACATTGAAATTTACTTCGAAAATGTCTGCAATCCTTATGTTTGGTATTCAACCTCAAATCATTTCCTATCTCAAGGATTTGCACTAAAACCGTGCAAGTTACTCAGTCATGGGCCTAATTCTCAGTTTCGGTCCAAAACTGTGAATTTTCGTTATGTTCAGTTTTCTAACCATCAGCGATTATCGAAACATCTTTCTTTTCACACTTTAATCCCATATTCCTCTTGAAATTCAGTTTTAGTTCAAATTAATCAAACTAAATTTCGGCAGAATTTCACCTTGTTTTTCTCGTTTCTTGAGTTTTCAATAACTCGTTCTAATTTTGATTTCGGTACCTGGAGTCAAGATTCATATTCTTGAACACAAATTTCAACATAAAATTGAACAAAAACACATTTTCTCCATTTCTAGGGTTTTCGGACTTCCTAGTGTAAATCCAAATATTTTTGTTCAATCGTTTCCATAATTACACGTTGAACTCCTATCCTAGTCCCCGACAAAACTTCGGTTCCATTTTTCAGTTTTATGGATTTTTTCCAAGATGAGTTACTATTCATCAAAACGAAAAAGCAGGCAGTTTCTCATGAAAAATCCAAATTCTTACCTTGAGAAGTTGAAATTCTCCGCTAGAATGCCTCAAGTTACGTTTCTACTGGACTAAACAGAAGAAATTCTGACGAAATCGGTTGATTCCTTGGATTTCCCTTTGTTTTCTCTATTTTCTCTCCTTTTTTCTATTCTCTCGGCCACACTTTGGCAAAGAAACACTTTGGTTTCTAATGGTCTTCCGTGGGCTTCTTTTTAGACATAATGAATATTATAATATTATTTTTAATAATATCTAATATTACTTTTTAGATTAAAATAATTACTTTAATTTTCATAATTAAATTTTATAAATTCTAATTAAGTTTAACACTTAATTTAAGTGGTTCTATGTTCCCCACATTTTTTTTGTCGAGACTAACTCGAAACTAGTTTCTTTCCGGTACTGATAGTTCCACAACCAGTACAGGTTCTATACTACTTTTCTGGACTGTTGAGCACCCTGGGTCAAACTTCTCATGTCCAACCCAATTCTCTTGGGTATCTCCTTAGTCAATTTCTTTTTCTGAAATTTTCATTTTTTGATTCAGAATTGCCCAAAATGCGTACTATTACGGTACTCATTTTTTTAGCAGTTTCCCATTTTAACTGACTCGGAAAAATCCTATTTCAGGAACTTTTGCTATTTTCCTTACTTCTAATATTTCTATTCTTTTTCTAACTGGTCATTTGGTCATAAACCAAATATTTTAGTTTTTCATAACTAAAATATACCCGTTAAAATTTTTAACTTTTAACTTATATTTTACTATTCATAACTGACATTCACGAATTTTCTTTGTAAAAATATTCGTATTATAACTTTACATTTTTCAGAAAATTTTACCCCGTACATAAAGTTTATACATAATATTTTCTTAATTACATCAAAATTCTACTACTTACTATTCCGGAAAGGATTTCGGTCAAATACCGGACTGTCCGCATTAGATCTAAATTTTTTCCGGTCATTACAATTACTGCATACCAAACGCCCTTAAATGTTGCAATTAATTTAGATTAATTTCGGGAAAGGAAATAAGCTTTTGTTTATTCTTAATGAATGTCTTATCTCCTTTAATATGTTCGCGTATAATATGTTTTTAATTAGTTAATAGCATGTCAAAAAAATAATTAACAGTATTAGGAGTTGAATTTATTACGCTTTTAACATTGTCAGATCAAAAATGCATTTTAATTGTGTACTGTATTTTTCCAACCATGCAGGTCATTACAAAAGCACCATCTTCATTTGTCCCGTAAGTATATCACAGGACATCAACAAATCGTATTATTTTGTTTACGATGTACTTAGGTGCAGCTTAGTCATCAAATTAATTATAGTACGAACGTGATTATGTGGCCAATTTCACAACTATATTTTGAGTCTCTAATTATGCCACTTTAATTAGATTATGATCCCGTTCATTTCACCGATTTAAGTTTAAATTTTAAGTTTTGTTACAATAAAAAATTCTCAGAAACAGTCATATTTAACTTTTTTACTACGGTGAAAAGCTCTCATATAAAATTACATCTCAATTCAAATTAAAAACTTAAATCAGGGAACTAAACATGCACAATAATCTTGATTATGGGGCCTACTTACATTTGCTCAGTATAACTTACCAGCATCTTAAACATCGCAAGTGCTGACTTAATTCCATAATTATACCACACGCATTTGAACATTACGTTTAGCCGTTTATTCAATCTACAAACAACCAAACGACAAAAAATATTTAAATAACATGAACTACTACAATTCAATGAATGTACATATTATTACGTTATTTGTTCACTTAATTGAACAATTGAACAAGGAGATACACGTTTCAACTGGAATTATATACACGTTTCAACTAGAATCATACGTTTATTTTACTGATTTGAGTTTAAAATTTGAATTTTATTATAGTAAAAAGTTCTCAGAAACAGTTACATCTAACTTTTTTATTACAGTAAAAAACTTTCACATAAAATCATATCTCAATTTAAATTATAAACTCAAATTAACAAAGTAAGCGGACCCATAATATCGTTACTCATGGACATTTGCTACAATATATGGTCTCTTACTTCATTTTTTTTATACAAGCTATATTACTTTTCTGCCCCTACACCGAATAAGATAAAAATTTCTCACCTGATACTGTCCTGACACCTTCTCCAGTTGTACTTAACTTTGAAATAAAAAATCTGTCAAAGTGAGCAGTTGTTAAACAGGTGTCTTATATTACTTAATCAATATAAATCTCATTCATTTCGTTGATTTAAATTTAAAATTTATGTTTTATTATAATAAAAAACTCTTAGAAACAGTTATATTTAATTTTTTTATTACAGTAAAAAATTCTCACATAAAATTAAATCTCAATTCAAATTAATAAATTAAACGGGCCTTATAATATTTGTAAACCAATTTAAGTGTCGCTCCAGTTCAATACAGATTCTATTTATTTTATCAATTTAAATTTTATTACATTTTTTTTATACAAGCTATATTACTTTTCTGCCCCTACACCGAATAAGATAAAAATTTCTCACCTGATACTGTCCTGACACCTTCTCCAGTTGTACTTAACTTTGAAATAAAAAATCTGTCAAAGTGAGCAGTTGTTAAACAGGTGTCTTATATTACTTAATCAATATAAATCTCATTCATTTCGTTGATTTAAATTTAAAATTTATGTTTTATTATAATAAAAAATTCTTAGAAACAGTTATATTTAATTTTTTTATTATAGTAAAAAACTCTCACATAAAATTAAATCTCAATTCAAATTAATAAATTAAACGGGCCTTATAATATTTGTAAACCAATTTAAGTGTCGCTCCAGTTCAATACAGATTCTATTTATTTTATCAATTTAAATTTTATTACAGTAAATTTTTTTTAAAAATAATCATATTTAATTTTTTTACTATAATAAAAAATTTTCATATAAAATCAAAATTTAATTTAAATTAAAAATTTAAATTCTAAAAGAGTACAAATATAAAATTTTCCATCATTGATTTATTTATTGTCGTTTTTCAACCCGTCTGACTTCAAAGAGTGACGAGGAGAGGAAAGAACAAAAGACAGAAAGAAAGAGAGAAAAGAAAACTCATCAGAAAGAAAAGAAAACTCATCACTCCTGACGTCTGCGAGCTACTTACTACACAATGCATTTATTTATTATTTATTTTTTTGGTTTTCCCTAAAACAGTTAAAACTAACGTCCTTTTCATTTTTTGAGTTTAGAAGAGTTTGTTACCTTAAAAAATTTTCAAAACTAATAAAATTTAATTTTTTTATTCTTATAAAAAAATTTTACATAAAATTATATTTTAACTTAAATTAAAAATCCTAATTTTATTCAACACATGTGAACTCAGTATCAATATAATAATACTTTACTTTACTTATATAACACAAGTGGTAAAATCATCAACTATCAGTCTATCACTCAAAAAAAACAACCAGTACCCACATTATAAGTGAACATTTAATTTATAGATTCAGAACTATAATTTAAAATTATTTTTAATTTATATATATTTTTTATAAAAAAATATTATAATAAATTATAAATTATAAATTATTAAAAAGTACTAAATGGATTTTCCTAATTAATTTATATATTGTCGTTTTTCAACTCGCTCACCGCCAAGAGTGACGAGGAGAGGAAAGAACAAAAAACAGAAAGAAAGAGAGAGAAGAAAATTCATCACTCCTGACATCTGCCAGCTACTTGCTACAAAATGCATTTATTTATTTCTCACATGTGAATAAGTACAAATATATTTAGGTTCCGTTCATTTCACTAATTCAAGTTTTTAATTCGAGTTGAGATGTGATTTTATGTTAGAGCTTTTTACTGTAGCAAAAAAGTTAGATGTGATTATTTGTAAGAGCTTTTTACTGTAGTAAAACTCGAATTCTAAACTCGAATCAGTGAAATGAATGAGGCCTTAAGCTCCGTTTTTTTCGCTGATTCAAGTTTAAAATTTAAGTTTTGTTACAGTAAAAAGCTCTAATAAAATAATCACATTTAATTTTTTTATTATAATAAATAACTCTCACACAACATTACATCTCAACTCAAATTAAAAATTTAAATTAGTGAATCCAACGGCCCACTTTACTTTACTTATATAACAGTATAACATGCATTTATTTATTTATCACATGCGAACCAGTACAATATATTTATACTTTATTTATATAACAGTATAACATGCATTTATTTATCACATGTTAACCAGTACCAATATATTTATACTTTACTTTACTTATAAAACAGTATAACACCGGTGGTAAAATCATCAACTATCAGTCTCACTCAAAAAAAAAAAAAAAAAAAAAACCAACCAGTGGCCACCATGACTGGTACCCACATTTTGGTCTTCCCATTCCCTGCGCAGGGCCACATGATACCTCTCCTGGACTTCACCGATCAGATCATCAGGTCCCACGACGCCGGCGAAATCACCATCACAATCCTCGTCACCCCCAAAAACCTTCCTCTCCTCCACCAAATCATGTCCGTACACCCCTCCATACAAACCCTAGTCTTGCCTTTCCCTTCCACTTCTTCCATTCCCCTCGGCGCAGAGAACGCCAAGGACTTGACCAACCCCATTTCCTTCCTCGCCATGATCCGGGCCCTCGGTGGGCTCCACGATCCCCTGATCAAGTGGTTCCGGTCCCACCCCTCGCCACCCGTCGCGATCCTGTCGGACATGTTCCTCGGGTGGACCCACCGCCTCGCCAAAGATCTGGGCATTCGCCGGATCGTTTTCTCTCCGTCCGGTGCTCTGGCGCTCTCCGTCATGAACTCGATGTGGCGAGAAGTGCCTACAAGACGCGATCCCAACGACCAAAACGAGGTCGTTTCGTTCGGCGATGTTCCGAATTGTCCGGAATACCCTTGGTGGCAGCTTTCAGCATTGTACCGGAGGTACGTCGGTGGAGACCCAGATGGGGAATTTCTCAGAGATGGGTTCGTTGACAACTTGGCGAGCTGGGGACTCGTGGTCAACACGTTTGATGATCTGGAAGGAGTTTACTTGAAGCATCTGAAGAAGGAATTGGGCCATAGTCGTGTTTGGGCTGTTGGGCCCGTGCAGCCCATTGAGCAATCTGATCCCACCACAAGAGGTGGGTCCAGTTCAGTCTCTGTTGACAGCATAATATCTTGGCTGGACAAGTGCGATGACCACAAGGTTGTGTACGTTTGCTTTGGCAGTCAAGCCGTGTTGCGCAACGATCAAATGGAGGCCTTGGCTTTGGGTTTGGAGAGAAGTGGGGTCCGTTTTGTGTGGTCGATCAAGGAGCCGACGGAAGCACACGTGGAGGGTGGCTACGGGAGGGTCCCACACGGGTTCGAAGATCGTGTGGCGGGGAGGGGCCTAGTCATAAAAGGGTGGGCCCCGCAGGTGTTGATATTGAGCCATCGCGCCGTGGGCGCGTTCTTGACTCATTGCGGGTGGAACTCGGTGTTTGAATCAGTCACGATGGGCGTGCCAATGTTAACTTGGCCCTTGCGGGCCGACCAATTCCTAAATGCAACATTGTTGGTTGTCCAATTGAAGGTGGCGATAAGAGTGTGGGAGGGGGTTCAAACTGTTCCTGATTCGGTTGATTTGGCTCGAGTTTTGGTGGAATCAGTTAGAGATGATGACCAAGCTCTAAGGCAACGAGCTACACGGTTGAGTGAAGCGGCACTTGAGGCCACTGCAGATGGTGGTAGTTCAGTCAAGGATGTCGAGTCCTTAATTGCCCATTTGACTGCACTTGACACCACTGCTAATAAGTAAAGTGCAATTTTTTAGGAGAAAGGCATATGGCCGCCATGATTTAATACAAGTTTGTTATTTATGTCTTTCTAAATATTTAAGTGACATTCTGTTTTCTCTTTATTTATTAAATATTTTTAAATAGAGTGGCATAATATTTTTGATTTTTTTCTCGTTTTTAGCTAATGAGAATAAAAAGAGAAAAAAAAGAGTTTAAGAAGATGTTTAGTTTATGGATTAGAATCATGAGATTAGAATTATTTTTAATTTACGTGTAGTTTTTGTGAAAGAAAATACTATAGCGAACCATGAACTATGATTCGAATCGGAGTATGAATCCCTCAACCAAACAACCCCTAAATTAGTAAAAGCAACTTTCAACATTTTCTTTTTTGGTGAAAGGGGATAAAAAAAAAGGCCATGACAAGTGTAGTTTATTAAATGAGAATTTTTGTAATAGCAACTATCTCTTATCATTATATTTTAGTTGTTATATTAATTTTTTACCGGCTTAATTTATAAATGAGAATACTTATGCATTGAGCATTACAAATTTTTAACACAGATAACTCATTGGTCAGATGATTAAAATAATGGATTTTATATTGGAAATAACAGTTTTTATGAATAGTGAAAATAACAGTTTCTGGTCTAAAAATTCATTCATTACAACGCTTAAAAAACGTCTCCAAGTTACCTATATCTTATGAAGTAAACACAATCGAAACTAACCCAAGTTTTCATGCAATCTAGCATAAGTCAATACTTTCATCAAAATATGTACATGCAACTAAGTTTGAGAAAAAAAAAAAAAAAAGAAAAAAAAAAAACCCTAAGCTTGAGAAAGATTGGTATAAAACTTGTTCTCGTCGTAAAACCAACGGTGTATTGTTGAAATTTATGAGAACATACCAAAGAGTTGTTTCTTGTTTAATTGGTGACTTGGGTACTTAAAAACTGAAAAAGTGTAGATACAAGAGAGGCTGATTCAATATGTTAGCTTGAAAAGTTTAGAATTTTCTAGAAAAGTAAATATTTGAGTTTTCTGACCTAGCCGAATGTAGATTAACTCAAATATGTATACATACTTATAAATGAGTTTTTAATGATTATATTTACGTTGATAGTTACTTGTAAGAATAAAATTTTAATGATGTAATATGATAAAAATCTTATCTCATTAATGATCACATATTTCTTTTGGTCAATTACTTAATATAATAATCTTATCAATATTAAAACCACATGGTTTTTAGGGAATCTCATATATTTCGTTTGTTTTAAATGGTTGGATCGTTTGACTGTTGTGGTCTTCGAGAATCCATGAATAAAAGAATAACAAATTTATGATTGAGGACTTTTAGTGGTGTGCAACGTGTTAGATTGGAGCGGCACCTATAATGAGACTTTTTTTGTTTTGTTTGTTTATTAGTGGTGTGCAACATTTTGTAGTCTATTCATCACCGGAGATGTTGTCAGGAATATCACTGGTTAGAAAATAGTATCTTATTCTGTGAAGGGGCGTAATTGTAAAATGCCATGAGTTTAAAAATATGTAAATGTAAGAATGGATCAACAAAAGCCGATAAGAAACAACAATGTATGTTGTGTGAAAAAATGTGAATGACGTGTGGAAAAATAACAGTGTGACATGTGATTTTACTTTTCTTCAAAAGGCAACAACTCTCGACGTTGGGGATTCCCTTTCTTTCTGCTGAAAAGGAAGCCCAACTTAGGACGCCGACTCCTCATGATGACGACAGGTCGTACCGTCGATCTTACGATGGGAATCCTTCAGGAGAAAATCAAGTGCAAAGAAAGACAACTAGGCTGAGCCAATAGAGACGGCGAGAAGAATGCCCCAAAAGAAAAAAGCCTGACATCGCAAGTTGCGTGCAGAAATGAGGGATGTCTGCAGTGGCATTAATTGCAAACCCTCAAACCGCCCTACGGGGGACAGAAAAGGGTTACAGGTATGCACAGAGCCGTAATGGGAGACTAATTGGCTGAGTGAACAGTTCACAAAAGTGATTAGTGGGCTACGGTCTGGGCCTAGAAAGACAAATCACTTGAGTGCTTCTGCCTACAAAGGAAACCCACCCGACAAAGAAAGCTCGGCTATAAAAGGGGTGAAGCCCCATACAGGAAGGGGGTTGGCTTCCTGAGAGAGAGAAAAAAATGAGAGAGCAATTGTTGATGTAAATTGTAACAATCTCAAAAGGAATATAAAACTACAGTGGATATAGCTCTTCATTTATAAGAGTGAACCACTATAAATTTTGTGTGTTCTTCTACTTCAAGTTTTTCTTCTCATATTAATCACCATTTTAAAAATACACCGAATACTTCGTTGCATGTATTAAGTACACAGTCAATATCAAGCTGGTAATCTAACGGGATATCTAGAGGTGACCCGGCCTATTTCTGTCGACGAGTTTTCACTGTCAACAATGTATATTGGTTGTTCAAAACATGTATATCCAATGGAGATAAGTGAACAATTGATGTAGTAGTATGTACAATGTGTGAGGAAGCTGTATTGTCGTTTTTTTGTTAAAACTCAAAAGAACAGGTTAACGTAAATTTAAATTGCATGCTTTATGGTAATCAGAATTTCTGAGTATTTGCGTTTCCTAAGAAGCAAGTATTAGAAATGAGAGCAAGAAAATAAGAAGGGTGAAAACATATGACCAACAAAATAATTAATTGTAGGAGGTAAGGAGGAAGAAATTAGTAATGAGAGGTAAATTCTTGAGCCTTGCGACGTGGTAAATTAAGAAAATCAAAATAGATGGGTAAACTAGGACAATACAAAATGAGTTGTATAGTATTTGTGCTTACAAAGAGAACAAAGCACATATATTCCTGGACAATATAATTATTCATACGGAATACTTAGTACCGACAAGAATGATACGTCTTACGTAAATGGATATATGTTATTTACTTTTTGGAGGAGAAGCATCATACTTTTGAATGTGGTTATTCGGTGAATCGGCTTGTTGTCCGAAGGAGATAGTAAATCCGTCATGTTCCGAGTTGAATTGTGGTCGGTAGCACCATTGAGAGATATTATATGTCGTTGTTCCCTTCTGAACAAGTCTCATTAGTCTTGGCCTTGTCCTTTTTTAACAGACACGTTTGTCTGTTGTGACCATGACCCTTACACAAGGCACACTTCTTGTCTTGCGTAAAAATCTAACGATCAACACCTATCTTGCCTCGAGATTAAACTAGTTTCGCCGAAGAGACATACATCTCATGATTCACGAACACGAACAAACACCCATTTTGGATTTCAAGAAAATCAGAAGCCGCCGATGAAAAAAGCCACAATAGAGTATCCGCCGATGAAGAAAGCCGCAGGAGGGTAGCCGAAATTCATTGTTATGAACAAACCCATTGTTTTTATCGGTCGCGAACAAAAGCCCTAATTTTTTCTGAGTTACATACAAGCAAAACAAGTCAAAATCTACAGCTCAATAACTTTCTTCCCTCATGATTAAATTGGTTTCGCCAAAGAGACAAACCCCCGGAATCACGAACACAAACAAACACCCATTTCGAATTTCACAAAATTCAACAGTCGTCGATGAACAAAGCCACGGTAGACCTTTGGAGGGAAAAAGGCCCTATTTATAGAATTTGGTTTAAATAACTGTAATGACTGAGAAAATTTCAGACCTTAAATAATACAATTCATGTATTTTTAAGCCAAGGATTTTCTTAGAAAATATTATGTTATATTGTGAATGGAGGATTTATGGAATTAATATATGTATTCCTAAATTCTATAGCAAATTTCATGTTAAGTTCATGTTTCGATCAAGTAAATTCGATCGATAAATTCTCACCGTATTTTAAGGCAGAATAATTTTCAGTACAAGTATAGTTTGAGAATCTTAATTTCAAGAATCTCTAAGCACAGCACGATGTTAGCGGCATATAAAAAAAACGCACTGACATTTTAAAAGAAGAAAAAAATCCTTAATTGCCAAACAGTTAGGTTAAAGTCACAAGATAAATACCTATAGTAGATGGATACAATATGAGCTCAGGAGTTGACACTGTCAGAAACGTCATTCTCGGGATAGAATACAGAAAATTAAAATTTAGAATTTGTTCAGTCTAAAATTAATTTTAAGACTTGAAACAGTTTGAAAAATTACGCGAGTAAGAATATAAAACAATATTTAATTATTCAGAAATTGATATTGGACTGTAAGTAGTAGATTAACTTACGTGAGCTAAACTAATTACCTCTAATCAGTATAAATTTAATCTGTTTAGAGGAAATAATTGAGGATAAGATCAGGCACGTAATCTTGCCTTAATCAGATACTTTATATAGTGAAATTTTTAGGGTTCTTGCACTTTCTTTCTCTTATTCTCGCTCATTCTCTCTCTCCTCTCACATTTTCTCTCACACAAACCATCAATGGCCAAATACTCAAGTTAAGATTCCGACCTCCATTTTTGACACCGCCGGTGTCAATAGAAAGATCTCGACGAGCTGAGTTCAACGACATGCGGCACGACCTCCAACCCCGCCGGAATCAGCCGCAATCGCCGGCGGAAGTTCCGAAATTCCCATTTCTTCCCGTCGTGATATATCCGCCATCCGACCTCCGATTGAGATGATTTCAGTCCCTATGGACTCAATGCACCGAGATGAAGAAAACCCATCCATTTTCACAGCTCGATTCTGGC